ACTAATTATAATTTTTTAGAGCCTAAATCTTAAAATTCTAAACCCTAAAAAAATTTTGACCCCTAAAACCTCTTAAACCCTTAAAACTAAACCATAATACAACATAGTTAACCCAAATATAAATAATATAATAAATAAATTTTTTTGAAAAAGTAGCATTTTTGTAAGGATTGTAAAAATGTAGTATTTTTGTAAAGTGGCACTTGAAAAATTGCATTTTTAAAAATTTCTCTAATAGATTTTGCTAAATCCCATGTGATATATGATCCTCTATTTATTAAATATCACCTTTAAATAGAAGTATCGTAATATTGTAATCGACACCAAACTTGCATGGGCTTATTTTGTTACGTTAGCTAGCGTCTAGAAAGATCAATCATAATACAACGAAAATATTTGATTGTATTCCCAAATATATTGATAAATGACGGATATAGTTTAGAAAAAAAGAAATGATTTATATATTCGTTAGGTCGGATATGTAGTGAGGAAGAAACGTCGAAAGTAGTGGGAAGAAGCATGTGGTCCACGTGATCGGACTTTGTTTCTCACATTTGACTTGTTCGTACGACCACTTAAATCACTAACGACTCTATGCGTGCTTGCATGTGGTTCACATTGATTTACTCTTGTACGGCCACTTTCTCCAAAGTCCTATAGACTATAGTTTATGTATGGTGGTGTATTCAAAGGTGATATAAACCACTCTTAAGCAAAATAATTAAATATGTGTTAGGCTCAATGATCTACATTATGTTATACACGACTCTTTAATATATTTATATCACCCACCGAAGTACTTCTCAATAAAACTGTTCCAATACAAGTAATACTACGTACCAAGGAAAACTTAGGTAGTACACGAGGACAAATGCATACTACTAATCTAAACGATACTCCAAGACAGCTTGGAAATATATATTTTGTCTAGTAGGAGAATTTGGGTTCCACGAGATTACTCGAATAAAACGTCGTAGACTCCTGCATTTGCAAGATGTGTTT